AGGCTGGGTCGTGGGTCATAGTCGGACAGAAGGTTAGAAAAAAGAGCCCATATATCGCTTTGTAGAGAAATATCAAATTGTTCTTTAGCCTACGGTGCCATAAAGGTTCTAAAGATAGATGCTTACATCTGTCTGTGTAATCGATATTCGAGTTACATCCTAGTAGTTGACGTGTGAAAGCTGCATTGGTGATGCAGCTAAAGTAAATGCAAAGATTCAATTTATACGAATGCAAATCAACACAATCATTCCTGATACTCCACATAGACATACTCACAGCCTCACTTCAAATTCCACAATCCTGTTAAGCTCACTCTCCTCAAGGGAGACGCAAACCTCACAGACAAAGTACAAAAAAGAGTGCCTGGCTGGTTGGTGAAGTTGTCGGATGAATCCCAAGGAAACAGACTGAGACACTTGGGATTATTCTTGCAGAGTCATAATGGAACAACATGTGGTGTGATAATGGCATTCAACCTACTATGTTCGCCAAGGTACTCAAAAGCGAACACCCTACCAGAATATCACCACCACGTCCCTCGAATCAATCCCGACAAATCGCTCATCAAAAGGCAAAAGCTCAGGCACTCTCTCACCCTTTCTCATTCAGAGTTGTTATCATTCGGAATGCTCTTCCAGTCGAAGTGTCCCGTGACTCCTCATAGAGTGGCTTCGAGAGGATATTTTATAAATGTCTACTAACCCATGGATTACAATCTCGTGCTTCGATAAGCTGTATCTAGTACATGTCTCGTGACTTACTGTCGTATCCTGACGAGAATTATGAATGGTAACTCTTGAGAACTGTTTATGGACCAACACCATACATATATTTTTATTGTATAATTATGGAATAGCTAAACTCTGCATACGCACGTTCCTCTTATTATGGGCTTTATTTTGACCCCTAGACTATTATTATACGATTTACCGTCCTTGAGTTCTGTCCAGTCTATTAATTACTGTCTCCCACACTCACAGTTGCTTTGGGTTATATCTTCGTACAAATGTTGTTTTCTATTTTGTGGTGTGATGCGGTCTGTCTTGTTTGTATATAAACCCAGTATGCTTGAAATACATGATCCATATCACGGAGGCTGAGATTGGTGTTCTGCACTTAACAGGTAGAGCTAGGCAGGAAGGAGGACCAATAAGAACCCTAGACTGCTCGTACGGGTTTTATGCGTCATTGGTCCGGTTGATGATTCACTGTTCTGGAATTGGTGGTATCATTACATTGTTTGTTGGTAGAGGAACAGGGTCACAAGTTATAACACTTACCTACTGTCATCATCACCATCACACGTCATTAACTTACTCCTATCTCGCCTATTCTTATCCCCGTTCCCCCTCTCATTCGGTTATTCCATACTGTCTGTATTACTAATCGATTAATCTGTTGAATTAGTCCTTGCAACAATCGTCTTCTCTCGGAATTCGAATTTCACTTTTTTGTTTTAACATCGAAACTGACAAACTAACCTCTTATTTTTTTTAGTGTGATAGTTGTTGATATCCAGAAACCCTACTGCTCAAAGAAGAACGCACTCACTCAGATTACACAATATACAAACCTACGAATAACTAGTGAACTGACGGTGACGCCGCTAACAATCTGTCCGAACAATATTACTGGACATTTAAATCGACTTACATTAACTATATATATAAAAGCCTCATCTGCAATTGCACAAGACTTTCCGAAGTGGACCTGAGCGCTGACTTGATGTTCCGGAGACTGGGGCATTTCTGCTGGTTCAAATAATGTTTCATTCTGCTATACTGAGGGAAGAAGGTTCAATCCTGACAACACTGCTTGGCGTGATTTTCTCACACTCGATATGCCGAGGCAAACTACAGGAAAATTGAAAGCTGACACACATCACACCAATTTTCAAAGGAGGTCGACGCAATTGACCCCCAAGCTACCGATCGGTGGCTCTTCTCCCTATACTTTCAAAAGTTATGAAGTCCCTGATATGCGATGGTATACACGACGATTTATTATCCCTAAACTTCTTTTCAGCCCAACTGCATGGTTTCAGGAAGGGTTACTCTTGTACAACCAACCTGCTGACTGTGGTTGACAGATGGACAAGCATCCTTGATCGCAAGGGGAAGGTTGATATTATTTACCTTGATCTCTCAAAAGCTTTTGATAGGGTTAACCATGTATATCTTATCAATCAGATCAAACGATTGGGTGTCGGACCACTTCTCATTGATTGGCCCATTTCATATCTGAAAAATCAACATTTGAAGGTCAGGGTTAGCTTCACTTCATCTCAGGCTATGGAATTTCCTAGTAGGGTCCTTCAGGATTCCGTACTGGGACCTTTTCTTTTCTTGATTTATATAAATGATCTTCTACAACATGTATCGCCAGACTTATTGCTTTTTGCTGATGACGTGAAACTTTGGAGGGAGACACGCAAACAAGACGATATACAGGCACTTCGGGAGGATCTGACCCCACTTCAAAGTTGAACAGATGATAACGGACTTTAACACTTCAAAGTGTGAAGTAGTCCATTCGGGACATGTCGCAGACTACAGTTACAACCTAGGAAACTCCTCCCTAATAGTGTCCCGAGTCGAAGAAGATTTAGGAGTGCTGGTATCTTACGATTTAAAGTCATACTCTAACTGTGACAAAAATGCCTTGCGGGCAAACCTTGTACTGGCAACATTGAAGCGCATTTTTGGCGAGTTTGACGGAATAACTTTCCACAAAATCTTCAACATTTTCATTCGTCTCCATTTAGAGTACGGAAACATAGTACTTCCCCCTTACTCCAAAAGGATAAGGACACTCTGGAGCGAGCCACAAAATCATTCCGGAGACTCAAATTCAAACCTTATGAAGAGCGCCTTCAATCATTTAACCTTTACACACCAGAGCTCAGCCGTCTTAACGGTGACCTTCTGTTGGCTTACAGTATCCTTGACACTTCTGGACACCCCCTTAAACACCTACTTAAGTTTAGCTCCAGCACAAACCCAAGTGGTAACGCCCAGAAACTAGAGACACAACACAGTAGAACGGGCTGTAGACACAAATTTTACACCTTAAGACTTGTCAAATACTGTAATTCGCTGCCGGCTGAGCTAGTCCAAGCGACTTCCAGGAGTCATTTAAGGGGCAACTTGACCTATTCTTAAGGACTACGGGTATCAGATTCAGATTTGTGTAGTAAGGACAGAAGGCTTACGGCCTATGTTATTCTTTTTCTAGTATGCTTCTGTGAGTGTCCAGTCTTCTCTTGAAAGAGTCAATTGAAGGTGCGGACACCATTGCTTCAGGCAGCAGGTTCCAAGTATTGATGACTCGGTGTGAAAACCTGTATGCCATGGGTATTTTGTTCGTTCTTGGCTTTTCTACTCGCCTGCTATGTCCCCTGAGGTGTCCCGATCTAGTGGGAAGAAAGAGGGAGAACAAGTTAGGTCCGAAATCATTTCTCAGTATTCTGTACATCAATATTAGATCTCCCCTTAGTCTGCGATAGGACAGAGTAAAGAGGTTCAGTTTTTCAAGCCGTTCTTTATATGATAAACCCCGGAGTTCCGGAATTGCATGCGTAGCTGCCCTCTGTACTTTTTCTAGTATGTCTGAGTCACCTTTTGAACAGGGGCTTGCAGCCTGAACACAGTTCTCTAACTTAGTTCTCACTAAGGATGTGTATAATGTGGTGAACATGGTAGTATCAAATTTAGTGAATGTCCTTTTTAAAGCCCAGAGGGTTCGAAACCCCTTAACTGCGACCTCCCGGCAATGGGCCGTCGTCTTAAGATCATTGCTCACTGTCACCCCTAGGTCCTTATGAGACCGGACTACGGGTAATGACACATCCCCTATGTTGTACGTATTAACCTCTGGATCCCCCAAGTGCATGTAGACACACTTTTCCGAGTTGATAGGCATCAGCCACTCTTTAGACCAGTTTATCATATTATTTAAGTCCGCCTGAAGAGTAAATGCGTCTTTGTCTCCAGTTATTACTCGCCAAATTTTTACATCGTCAGCGTATAATAACATTGGAGACTGTAATATACTTGTAAGATCATTAACGTACATTATAAAAAGTAAAGGACCTAAGACGGAACCTTGGGGTACTCCACTAAGTACTGGTCTCCAGATGGAGCACTTGGAATTTATTCTTACTTTTTGCCTACGACCTACTAGGAAATCCTTAATCCATTTTAAAAGAGGTCCGGCAATACCAAGGTTTGCCAACTTCAATAGCAGTCTATTAGTTGGCACCTTGTCAAAAGCCTTACTGAAGTCTATGTAGACAACATCCACTGAGTTTCCGTTGTCTAGCGCATTAATCCAGAGCTCCCTAACTATAAGGAGGTTCGTTGTACAGGATAGACTCCTTCTAAAACCATGTTGTGCCATGTTCAGCAAGTTATTGGTTTCCATAAATGTCGTTATGGTCCGTTTGATTGTTCTTTCCAGTATTTTAATTACAACACTGGTGAGGCTTACGGGTCTGTAATTCGATGGAACTTGTCGTGGACCTGTTTTATGTATGGGAGTGACGATTGCGTCCTTCCAGTCCATAGGTAACACACCTTGGTCAAGTGTCATTTTGAATATCACAGTCAGTGGGGCTGCGATATATTGGGCAATATGTCTCAAGATTTTAGGGTGTAGTTCATCTGGTCCTGAGTTATGAGTTCCCAATTTCTTTTTTTCTAATCTATTATGGTTATTATACCTAGGTTCCTACCTGTAGGCATTGGTGATCTACTGCCACTAGACACGGAGGCCTGCTAAGCGAAAGTTTCTTCTATTCTGTCCACAACCATTTGAACCATTTGACTAAAAGAAATGCAGTTGGGTGACTAGACCACCGCCCACTGGATAGTACCAAATACCTGGAACTGTAACGAAGCGACGGAGAGGGACCTCAAAGAAATCAATCCGTTTATACATGCTCGTCACACAGTTACTGGTTTTATTGGAACTTTGTTCTGTGCGCGTTGCTTGACATGTACGCTTCTTTCATATTTGTCGTATTTTTAAGATTGTCCTTCGCCTACTTTCTGTTCTTTTTTCGTAAAGCACGTATAAATTACTCAGAAGTAAATTTCGCTAGTGCGAGTGGTTTATTTAGATTTATGAACCGAAATATTCGAACAGTCCTTTCAATTTAAAGCAATGCCGTTTGTATATATATATATATATATATATATATATATAAACCTTACATTGTATATTAAAGTCATTATACGACTTTGCAAAAATAAGTAATACCGAATTTTATCCCATATTTCTTTGTGCTTGGAAATTTTATTTATGTGTAGATCGATCGATATTAGGTAATGTGTTTCAAGTATAATGCCCACTATTCTAATAGTCTTATGCCTTGTCAAGGAATCCTCTAGTTCTGAAAGAAGGTTTAGGATATTTCCACATGTTCTATGAAGTGGTCTTCATTTCAAGAACTATCCTTAGAAATTTTTATCTATGGGATAACTTGTCACTAGAGATCTATCCAGGAAAGAGTACAGATGGTCTGTGTTAGTCCCCACATTAGTTATTCCCGCAAAATCCTGTCACTTTGTAAGTCCCTTCACCTGTGCAGCTGGTATTACTTTTTCTACTAACCTATTTCAGCTGGTAATCGTTTAATAAAATTGCAAACTCTTCGTTTAGCAACTTGTATGTTTCTCGGAGTATCGATCTCAGTTGCGAAGGATGTAATGGGTGATTGGATACAGTACTTCATATGGGTTCTAACACGATATGGCATGATATTTCAAAATATCTCTTTGCCAAAGCAACTCGCGACACTAGTACGGACATAACATCCCAAATCTTTTAGCAAAACTACACTGCAACTCGCTGTCATCAATTCATGGCCTGTAATGACCCTTAGGGTTCTCGATATTGTATGGTGATGAAAGTCAGTGCAATTAGTATACATTGTCAGATTTTGCGTGAAATCACTGCGGGTACCGACTTTCTTACTTAGCAATCAGTTAATCTAATTCAACATATCGTCCAAAGGTTCACAACTCCCATAAGTAGCAGCAATCATTTTTGACTATTTACTGATAAATTAGTGTTGAGGAAAACCTAAAGCTTCTTTAGAAATGCAGTTCCCAATGGGTTCCTGTTCGTAAAACAACCAGTTTATACCTACTGTTAAAGCGTTCCTCATCCATGGATGGATGGTCTTTGTAATCTCAGACCTAGTATGATTCTGTATCGGTTTCAGATTAGATAGTTAGTAGAAACCTCTTTAAAACCATCAAATACTTTACCCCTAAAATTTCTATCGCCATTACTTTTTCACTATATAGGGATTTGTTAACAGAAAGGAATTTAATCATTTTAAAATCCCCATATCGCTCCAGGTCAGTATTGACGGTAGTCCCGTCATTCCTGTTATTTATGCTAATGCAGAAAAACAGTTGACTTAAAATATACTACCGAACCAATGAACGCGGAAATTCATGTTTGAAGTATCAAAATAAGGTTAAGAATTACTGTTAGGGTTAGGTGTTCAGTTAGAGTTTTTATCTTAAACTGACATCAGCTATAATACAATGATCATACAACCATATTCCCATACTAATTCCTAGTATAATAAGTCGTCCATTCGTTCTTGCAGCCTTTTGATTGACCGTAATGTTTAACATATCACTGTCATTCAACTGTGTACATTACGTTTACCGGAAAAGCAATGCTTTTAGTGGGATAATTATCGCCCTGATGTGTTGATTTATCAACCAAGTTTCAGTACTTAACTTTCATTCCATTCCACACGGTCATAACATTGTTTATATCACCAGCTTAGATCAGAGAGTAGTTCTCGCACATGTCAGTTATGAACATTCACTTCACCGTTTAACTTTCTATGTTTTATTGAATATGTTTTCAGTAGTATAACCGACCAATCTATAAAAGAATTGGTTTATTTTTGCTCCAACTTCCTCCCTCGTATCTCATGACCATGACATTCATCTGATAATCGGATGGAATGGATAATGTACCATGTTGCTATTGTACCTATGAAGTGCCTTTCCGGGGAGTTTCTTCAGAGCATCCGACGGGTCACTTGCTAACTGCTGTTAGAAATTCTGGGGAGAAGCAATTGCTTGGGAAACCTCTGGATAAAATTTTCCGTTTTGGGTGTTTTGAAGTTGCACACAACAAATTAACATTATATGGAATTTTGGGTTTATCAAATTGGGAAGTATTATTTGTGCCATGTATTAATCTTGGACAAATAAGTAAGGAGGACATTAATGCCACTCGGTTAGTTAGTTCAGGTTGTATTTTTTTAAACAGTTTAATTTTCTCATTGTATGTCCGTTACGCAATGTCGTTTTCAGTTATACGATATCAATTACTAAAGCACTGTTAGGAAATGCTTTGTTTCCCAAACATTTGACTATATCTTGTTAACTGAAGTACTGCTTTAAAAAATTGTGCAAATTTGGAACCGTTCACTAAGCCTCACATTCGGCTTCCTAAAAACTACATTGTTAATAGTCGTTTCTCAAAGCTATACCAAATTATTCTATCAAAGCCCATGTGATTTGTATTGTAGAGCCATCAGTAGTGATAATTAGTACATTGTCAAAGTACGCTTCAGATACTACACTTGCAGCCTCGATGTAATTGATATTGAGTTATACCATCAAATAGATGACCTCAAGAGACTGTGTTTGACAGATATTTCAGTACTAGTCAGCGATTTGAATACGCAAATCAAGTGTCTAGGCACAGTGCGGAGACCCTTAGGTGGTAACCATTGGGAAACCCTTGATCACAGGTCTTTTTATTCTTTATTTTTATTTTAACACATAGATATTGGTACAAGGAGGCACCAAATACATATGCGCCACATAAATCTCATTCGATTTGTGTGAAGGCTGTGATACTGCCCGGGTGCCCAAACCGAAGCAGGTGGTTTTCTTAGGGGGCCACACCCGTAGCCTTCGACCTGAAGGTCTAATCCACAAGGCAGTGTAGAATCGTAAGGAGATGCAGTTCAATGGTAGCCAGTGACCAACGATTGGTTCATACTTCATTTGTTCCTTCAGGATACTGGAGTCCATGTGCACCATTGGTTTGGAATGAGGGTTTTCCAACTCCCCTAAGTAGACTCTCCATGTCCATCAACCCGAGTAAAGCGCCGGACATTTGCTTTTCGTCCTCTGAATTTCGTAAACAACACCTCTCACTACGACAAGGCAGTGATTAGGACTTCCCTGGCAGAGGCTATATACGCGTGACCATGTGAGTGCATTTCGAGAGGGAAAACGGACTCTTCCCACTCTCGACCCTGTCAGGGCATTTGGGGGCAGATAACGATGACAGTTTTTCACAACTTTAGGCAGGAAAAGGCATGTTTCTGGTCAGTACCAACTTTCAGCACAGTCATCACCAATGTGCTACCAGGCGTCATCCCTCTACACATCAAACCTTGATCCAGATTGATCATATTCGAATTACATACCACTGCTATGGTTTCATACAAAACTGTCACTTTTTTGGGATACCTATTTTTAATGTGATTATAGTTTAATTTTCACCCAGCTTATTTTGCGTTTTGGTGGCCAATAAACGTCTATGTCTTAACGGATTGATACCAGCAAATGGTCCGTTTCTTCAGTTACAACCAAATATCGACAGGTATTGTGGTACTAGCCGGAGACTTGAATGCTCAGGTTGGGCGTCTAGGCACGGAAGAGAGTCGTTTAGGTGGCCGATGGGGACTTGTTGGTCGCAGAACAGATAACGGGGACCGTCTACTGCGGCTGTGCACAGAACACAACCTGTTTCTGGCTAGCACTATCTTCCAGCACAGTCATCGCCGATGTGCCACCTGGTGTCCTCCCTCCGCATATCAAGCCTGGACTCATATTGATCACATCGCGATCAGCTACCGCTGGCGTGGTTGTGTACAAGACTGTCGCTCCTTTTAGAGTACCTATCTGAACTCTGATCATGCCCTGGTCTGCGCCAATCTTACCTTACCTTCCAATGGCCAACGAATTGATCGTCATAAATGGATTGATGTCAGCAAATAGGTTGCAACTTCTGTTGCAACTGAGTATGGAACCGAGCTAGCTTCTAGGCTAGCTACCACCCCACTGAAAAGTATAGGTGAGCATTCGTCACAACTGCATGACCGTGAGTTTGACCACAAACGAAGGCTGTTACGTAATGAAATCGGACAAAGCTTGCGTAAAGACCGAGAAGCCTGGTGGTCGGAGAGTGCTAATGAGCTGGAAGCAGCAGCTGCATCTGGTAACTACCAGAAGCTCTTCCAATTCATCTGAGCCACTGGCAGCAAGAAATCTGATTTGAACGAAACAATCTGTGAGGGTGACGGAACGCCAATCATTAACATCCATCGACGTCTTGGACGATGGGCAGAATTTTTCGAAGGGCAGTTCAACTGGCCTGCTGCTCCGGCAACATCGATCGGACTGTCCTGCCCTTCATGGACCGTGACGACTGATCCACCAAATGAGGCGGAAGTCCACAAGGAACTCCAGCTCTTGAAGCGCTACAAATCACCTGGCCCAGATGACTTACCTCCAATCCTTTCTAAAAGTGGTGATGACTTTCTGGCTAAGGAACTGACAACGTTGTTTACAAAGGTCTGGGACCTAGAGAGTGTACCAACGTCATGAAATGAGTTGATAGTTGTCCCCATCTTTAGAAAAGGGTCCACGTCGTTTCTGTAACAACTATCGGGAGATAAGTCTACTTCCGATTGCGTCCGAACTGTTGACTTCCGTCATACTTCGTAGGTTGTTCAAAACGTGAGAAAGATTGACTCGCGAGGAGCAGGCTGGTTTTAGTTCCGGTCAAGGATGTATTGATCATATCTTCACCCTCCGCCAAATGTTAGAACACCGTCATACTTATCAAAGTCCCTTTAAATGCAAGTTGTTGCTTCAAGACTGGTCTGCGTTAACACCTGAACTAAGGATAGGGAGTGAAGCAGTCGAACGCGTTGACAACTTCACTTAACAACTTCACTTATCTTGGAAGTCTGATCAGCCCTAATGGGTTGGTGTCTGACGATATCTCAGCACGGATTCGAAAAGCTCGCTTGGCTTTTGCCAACTTACCTCACCTATGGTGAAGGCGAGATATCCGTCTATCAATAAAAGGACGAGTATACTGCGCGGCAGTCCGTTCTGTTTTAATTTACGGCAGCGAAACATGGCCATTAAGAGTGGAAGACACTCGTAAGCTACTAGTATTTGACTACAGATGCCTTAGAAATATTGCTGGCGTCTGCTGGGATCACCGGGTAAGTAATAGTGAGGTTAGACGCAGGATATTATGAAATGATGGAAAATCAGTTGATGAGGTTGTGAATCTTCATCGATTGAGATGGTTGGTCCGTGTGTTACATATGCCTGAACACCGATTGCCACGACGTGCAATGCTAACCGGTGTTGGGGATGGTTGGAAGAAAGTTAGGGGTGGCCAAAGCAAAACGTGGCATCAGTGCTTGAAGTCACTAACTTCTAGTCTGAGCCATGTTGGTAGATGCAGACTACTTGGTTGGGGTCCGCGTGACTATCGTAACTAATGGTTGGAGACTCTTGGTGACATGGCTCAGAATCGATCACAATGGCGTCGGTGTATACACTCTCTATCTTCCCTTAAACTAAGAGATTAAAATCGCTTCATATCTTTGTTTCGACGAACTAATTCTTTCTTCCTGTACTACATCCTTATGGCAATCTTCCTTTTATATATTACCACCTCTGAATTAACTACTTTTATGAATCCGGTGTCCATCTTGTTGTATCAATGAGGTATGGCAACTTGGACCGATGCACATACGTGCCTGATCCTACATTGTAGCTGACTGAATGACACTTATCAAAGGCCAACGTCAGGACTGCCTTTGATTCGTTGGACAGGTTTGTTCTCTGGGATTTTCTATTGAAGAAGGGTGTGCCTGAGAACTTTATTAACATCCTAAAAGCCCTGCATACAAACACCTCAGGCCGAGTGAGGGCATACAACCACCTCTCTCCATTGTTCCATTCGAGCAGTGGCGTTAGGTAGGGTTGCCCAATCTCACTCTTCCTCTTCAACTTTGCCATCGATGACATTTTGGAAACAGCTCTGATGGATGTAAGTAATGGCAGTGTGGATCTGTTGCCTGGAGAAAGACTTCTCGACCTTGAGTATGCGGATGATATTGTCTTACCGTGCGACAATGCCCAAGGCATGCAATCCGCACTTAATCAGTTGGCAATCAGTGTCCGTAGGTATGGTATGTGCTTTGCACCTTCGTAGTGCAAAGTACTTCTACAAGACTGGCAGGATTCTAACTCTGTACTCACTCTGGATGGTGAGCAGATAGAAGTAGTCGAGAAGTTCGTGTATCTAGGTAGCTGCATAAGTGTTGGTGGTGGCGTGAGTGATGAGACCGATTCACGTATAATGAAAGCCAGAGCGGCTTATGCCAATCTGGGCCATCTTTGGCGCCTTTGTGATGTCAGTCTGGCTCTAAAAGATCTTATCTACAACTTATCAATGAGAACATTTTCGACCTATGCTTGTGAAACCTGATCTCTCCGAGTGTAGGATGTTAGGCAACTCTATGTTTGAACGTCGATGTCCAATGAATTGCCGACATCCAGTGGCAGGATTGTGCGAGTAATGAGGAAGTTCGGCAATATATGTTCAAGCACATTGACGATATTTCGATTGGTCCCATCATTCTAAAACATCGACTTCTGTGACTTGTGCGTATGTTACGAGCATCATTCCAGAGAGTTCCGCATTGTGCATTATTTTCGGACGCTGAGACTGGTTTGAAAGAACGGAGTAGTAGTCAGTTTATAACTTGGTTCCCATTTGTAATAACATTTACATGTTTAAGTAAATAAATAAAATTACTAGCTTTTCGCTTTAACAGGTCCCTGTAACCGAACAACAAATAAAAACGGTTAATAGAGACTCAGTCGATCAGTGCTGTCTCCGCTCTGATGCTTAGCGAGAAACTGAGGCATAGTAAGGCAGGATACCGACACTATAGACTCCTTGGACGAGCGTTTTTCGACCAAACTTATAAAATCATCAGATGAAGTGTTAATTTATAGTACGACGAGACTGTAATTTATGACTGACTTTCAAAATATGGTTTTGAATATACTTCTTAGTGCGAACATTGAAGATGGCAAGTTTAAATGACACAAGCAGGTAAACATAATGAAACCATTCTTGTTCAATTAAATCTTAAAACAATGAGCAGTCCTATTCTCCACAAGAATTATATGTATAACCTAATTTATGATATGAACCCTGTTACATTTCTGGTATGAAAAAGTATGATTAACAGAATTGTTTTAAATAGATGAATATTTGTATCTCAGGACAAGAATTTTATCCATGTTATGTTCTGTAAACTGAATAGTTTATTTGTGAGAATGTTTCTTCTTAAGGAACATCGTTATCAGTACATAATTGTGAATAATGTAAATATCTTATAATTGAAATATTTAGTTCAGGCAACATAACATTTTAGGATAAAAATGTACTAATTTAAATACACTTTGTTATATTCTTACAGCCTGTTAATATATCACATGATTAAACCGTCAGTTAGAACAGAGACTTATATAACATTGACACTACCAAACCAATGATGCGTTAACCAATATGAGTAGCCTATAGTCAATTCTTGTGTTCTTGTTAGTCCTCCCACCTAACCCTGCCCGTTTGCATTCAGAACACAATCTTAGCTTGCATTGTATGAATTGTGTATATAAGACATACGCAGTTTATATAGAAGCAAATCAGAGCATAACACACCATAAAATATAAAATAACAATTATACAAGATTAAGCCAAAAAATGGCTGTGATTGTGAAAGGCTGTAAAGACCATTAGATTCGGAATAACTTAAGAATAGTAAATCGCATAATAATGGCCAATTTGAATTGTATTTATAATATTGAAGGTGATTCATTAACATAAATGGAAAATCGACCATGTATTATGATTTGTTTTAATACTCATGTAAGAAGTTTATCATTTTGCTAAGCGAAATTTTATTCACTTTTTAAGTGTCACATAGAAATTTTAATACTGGTCTAGTGATTTCACAATTCACTGTTTGTAATATTGTAGTATGTATACTAAAGCTATTGTCAGATTCTGTCCAATATCATTGACTGGTTATTAAATCTACTATGTGGATCAGGCTTTTAGGTCAAAGGCTCCGGGTGTAGCCCTTTAAGAAAATCACTTGCTTCGGTTTGAGCACTCGGGTAGTATCCCAGCTGTCACACAAATCGAATGATTTATGTGGCGCATATCTGTTTGGTACCTCCTTGTACCAATGTTTGTGTTTAAATAAATAAATAAATAAAAAGACATACGATGATAAGTTGTTAGATACCTACTCACTGGCTAAGAACTTTTATACCTACTTCGATAGCTAGAGGTCATGAGTTTTATTACCACACAAAGTCATTTGTATACACTGCTAATAAGTACGAATAATCTAAGATGAAGCTGATATTTATTTCCCCTTAGTTTTTAATGGTTCCTTAGCTTATATCTATGTATGAGAAAAATGATTTCCAATGTGAATTAGTTCCCGATAACCTTGCTTAGCTAAACAATAAATTTTTTTTGTATTTTACCGTTTATCTGATACATTGCATTCCATGACCATTTTACATAAATCAATATATATATATATATATATATATAGAAACAAATTTAAGCATAACAACTGATCACGTAATTGTAAATACTTAATTGTTTTACAAATTGAGAACGTTTCTATTATGTTAAGCGTACTTGATTCAATATTTTCACTAGACTAATACATATTTTGACTTGTTAAAATATTGTTTATAGTGAAAAATGAAATATATGTACTCATATAATGAAATGGTTATGCTTCATAGATGTGTATATCTATCAAATGTTTTTGTTTTTATTATTTATTTTAACACATAGATATTGGTACAAGGAGGCACCAAATACATATGCGTCACATAAATCTCATTCGATATGTGTGAGGGCTATGATACTGCCCGGGTGCTCAAACCGAAGCAGGTGGTTTTCTTAGAGGGCCACTCCCCGAGCCTTCGACCTGAAGGTCTGATCCACAAGGCAGTGGAGAATCGTAAGGAGATGCAGTCCCATGGTATCCGGTGACCAACAATTGGTTCATACTTCATTTGTTCCTTCAGGATACTGGAGTCCATGTGCACCATTGGTTTGGGGTCCGGTTAGAGCGCCGGACATTCGCTTTTCGTCCTCTCATTTTCGTAGACAACACCCCCGCCACGAGAAGGCCTCCAAATGCCCTGGTACGGCCGTGAGTGGGGAGAGTCCGCTCTCCCTCTCCGAATGCTCTCACATGGCCACGTGCATACAACCATTGTCAAGGAAGTCCTACTCACTACCTTCTCATGGCGGAGGTATTGTTTACGAAATTCAGAGGACGAAAAGCGAATGTCTGGCGCTTTACCCGGGTTGATGGACATGGAGAGTCCACTTAGGGGAGTTGGAAAATGCTGATTCCCAACCAATGGTGCACATGGGCTCCAGTATCCTGAGGGAACAAATGTCGTATGAACCAATTGTTGATCACCGGCTTCCATGGGACTGCATCTCTTTACGATGCTCCACTGGCCTTGTGGATCAGGCCTTCAGGTCGAAGGCTACGGGTGTGGCCCTCTAAGAAAACCACCTTCTTCTGTTTGGGCACCCGGGTAGTATCACAGTCCTCACACATGTCGAATGAGATTTGGTGCCTCCTTGCATCAATATCTATGTATTAAAATAAATAAATAATACCACGTGAAGGCAATGAGTAGGGCTTCCCTGGCTGAGGCTATATACGCGTGTCCATGCGAGAGCATTCGGAGAGGTAGAGAGGACTCTCCCCATTCTCGGCCGTACCAAGGCATTCGGGGGCATCTATCAAATGAGAAATTCAATATTATGATTTTAAAAGTATTTCATATATTATATTAAAATATCATTGACAATCAATCAATTGAGGTTATTCTCAATGTTTTCAATATTCGGTAAGTATGTTGTACCCACCACTTCTAGCTATTTTCTATTCATTTAGTGAATAGGTGCTGCATATTAGATTGTGGTTTTTTTACTACAGATTTCATTTCAATTCTGTGGAGTTATTGCCAATTGTCCTATAAATATGCTGTTATATCTCAGCCCAACATGATGTATGAAAAAAAACACAATTATGTAGTGAAAATCAAGGTTCGAAACGAAATTTCTGTTAGGAATCACCTATGGCTATATATATTAGCAATTACCCGAGTGTTGGATACAATACATTTATTGAACACTGAAAACGTTGAAAATAACCTAAACTAAGTACACTGATTCATTTGTTTTTTTGGTTTTATTAGTTTAATGCTTTTTAAAGATTATATCCTTATCAAAAACAAATATTCTTCAGAAATTAGATAGTGGTTGGAGGTAGTTGACAGGAAACCCTGGACCCGGGTTTCGTGCTACTTGGCACTCGTCAGCAAGGTGTACCTGTAATCTTGAGGGAACTGGTGCTTCCTGGCGGATTCGATCTCGTGTCATCCAGTGTCGAGTCACCTAGACTGGTGGCCGCATTGCAACATGATCGATAGCATTCGATCTGCACTAATAAGGACTAGACAAGCATGACATTGATCGCCACCCAGTGATCAATCAATTGTGATTCTTCACAAATCCCCACCATCATCATCACATGGAGGCCTATTAGAGTTCAAGGTTGGGCGTGGAGTTTATATTATTTGTAGTTTTAAATAATCTCACACTTCATAATCAATCAAAAATATGAAATAATATCATACTAGTCTGATTTAATCATACTCCAATCTTTCCCACTATTTAATGACCATTCAAGTGATACTGATCCGTTGTAAAAAACTATATACAAAGGTAAAATAGTACTTTTTCTTTAATAAAAATTAAACGAATAGTTAATCTTAAGCAACCTATAAGGGAAACAGAAAATACTAATCATTGTTTATAATTTCATAACAATAATGACTTCAGACGGGTTTTTTTCGATATTATAGTAATTTTAATAGTTCAGATCATGAGTCAATTGAAGCTAGATCACCATGAAAAAAAACCTGGAAGCATTGAAGTTCAACCGGGTCTGTTGTGAGATAGTGACTCACTGAATACAATGATGAATGTGTTGCCCAATTTCGTGGATTAGTTGAATTTAGATATTAACACCATTGGATGCTGGCCAATTCAATGATATAGAGGTTAAGTGTTCAAGCGCGAGAGTGATAGGTCCTAGGTTAGAGTCTTGCAAGGCAGGATCGTGGATGTGCACCGTTGAGGAGCCCTATAGTAGGACGAAACGGTCGTTCAGTGCTTCCAGGTTTTTCATGGTGGTCTAGCTTCAATTGACTCATGATCTCAACTACTAAAATAACGACTTCATTCATCATATAGTAATAATAATTGGTCGGATAATATTATTGGTATTTTGTTGTAATATGTTTTCCCGACCGTTGTTACTACCTTGACGTAGTGGTCGGGCTTGCCCATCGTGATATGTTTTGTATTTTAGGATTGATCCCAACACTTTATTTTTAGCATAATTTTTTAAAATTAAAATGATAACTTATAATTGTTCAACATTCTTTGTTTTGTTTTTCTTTTTAAAACTCTTATCTATAGTCAATTATTATCTCAAACACTTCATCGTACAGAACCATATTTTTATCAGTCATGGATATCTAATCGTCCTGGTTCTATTGGTTTAGGTAAAATTGATTATTTAATTATACAAGATCGACATGATCATTTATATAAATTTGATCCAATTAATAATATATGGTTACATTCAATAAATGGTAATGGTATCAAATTAAAAAAATTTAAAAAATATTGGTTAAATACTACTGATAATACTACTAATACTCCTCCTCCTACTCCTACTACTACGACTACTCATCATCATGATCATAATAAATTACCTCATACACCAACACGTTTATTAATATTAACAACAGATTTTGAAGTATTTAGTTTTCAATTATGTTATAATCAATTAAAATTATCAACAATATCTATCATAACAACAAAAGAATTAAATAAATTACGTAAAAATATTAAAAATAATATAAATTTATTTATTAATTTATTAACTAAAAGAATATCATATATACGTAAATCAACTGGATATTTATTAGCTAATGAATATGCAATTAATAATAATAATAATAATAATAATAATAATAATTTGGAAACACTATTGATTGGTCAACAAGATACAACTAATCATAATCTACATAAAAGATCTAATGTAAATATCTATGAAACTAATTGCAATGATAATAAACATGATTTTGTAAGTTGATTTATTGATTTTAAAGTGTATATTTTATAACTTACGGTTTTGTACCCCCCCTGATTTTGTTGTTGTTGTTTTTTTCTCATCGCGTTGCCAATTATTATAACTTGCGGGACTCCTCGGCAATGCACATCCACGATCCCGCTCGTGGGATTCGAACCCAGGACCTATCAGTCTCACGCGTGAGCGCTTAACCTACTGAACCACTGAGCCGGCATCCAATGGTGTTACTGTCTAGCCTCAACCAATCCACGAAATTACGCGACCATCTTCCATTGTACTGAGGTAGACACCTGTTTCTACTCGACATGGATTAGCTCCACTGGTCACGGCTTCCCACCAGAACTCCGGGAATTTTCTCAAGAAGCTAGTTACTAGTGAGCACATGGTAATTATCAGTATAGTGGTTGTGGAGGTGGTTAAGTTTTTTGATTGAGATCATGAACCGATTGATGTTAGACCACCATTAAAAACCTGGAAGCACTGGACAGCCGTTTTGTCCTATCGTGGGACTCATCAGCAGTGAGCATCCACGATCCCAGGGCCTTCAGTCCCGCGCGCGAACACTTAACCTACTGAAACACTGAGCCGGCATCCAATGGTTTTAAGTTCATTTATTTATTTTAAAGTGTATATGTTATAACTTATGGTTTTGTACCCCCCTTGATTTTGTTGTTGTTGTTTTTTCATCCCGTTGCCAATTATTATAACTTGATTGGTTTTCCTTTCTATACACATGTATGTATGAATGAGATATTAATTTATCTTAGATGAATATCTATACTAGATTCCTTTCTCAGTGTCTATTCTACAGGACTTGAACACAATTCAAATGATCAACAACATGGGATTAGCCTGATTAGAATGTAAATATATTTTCACACCAAAAAAAGCATGACACAACCTAACAACAATGATCAATCAATAATAAGTAATAATAATTATAAGAATTGGGGAAGATATATATATATATATATATATATATATATATATATATATATAACTCTGACTATCTACATATCTCACTAAGCAGACAACTAATCATTGTCATTCTCGCCCACACATCAGTATATATATAACAATTATTATTTATTTAAACACATAAATATTGTTACGAGGAGGCACCAAATAGATATGCCCCATATAAATTATTCAATTTGTGTGAGGTTTAGGATACTGCCCGGATGCCCAAAGTAAAGCAGGTGGTTTTCTTAGGAGGCCACACTCCAAGTCTTTGACCTAAAGGTTTGATTCATAAAGCTGTAATGAAACGTTAAGAGATGCAATCCCTTGGTAGCCGGTGATCAATAATAAGTTCATACACCATGTTTCTTTAGGATCCTAGAGCCCATGTGCATCAGGGTTTTCGAACTCTCCCTAGATGGACTCTACGTGCCCACTAACCCGGTTAAAGCGCTGGACATTCGCTTTTCGTCCTCTCAATTTCGTAAACAACAAAAATGCCGCGAGAATGCAGTGAGTAGGACTTCTCTGGTAGTGGTTTTATGCACGTGGTTATGTGAGTGCATTTGAAGAGGGAGAGCTGACTCTCCCCACTCTCGGTCATACCAGGGCATTTGATGATGGTAGAAAAATGACCATTACAGATAGTTTGGATGGAAAACAATACGAAAACTTAATCATTAAAGAAACGTAAAAGATTAGTGCATTCTCACCGCTCTGATTATTTTCTATTCAATTCACAATATTACACGATCCTTATTATGCGATCACTTTGGTGATATATCTCAGTCACCTGAGGTGGATGAGATATATGTGTGCTTAACCAATTTTTGGTAGAGTTTTGTTCTCTGAGCTGGATGGTTCGGTCGTGGAGCTTTCATCGTTCTTCTGAACGACATCATCAGCACAAACTTCAGATAGAAGTGAAGTGTTCGAATTTCTCCATATTTGTTTCACAGCTTGTTCTGTGCACCTCGATGTTGATTGGTTCTTATTGACCAATGCTTATCTGGGTGCGTGATGTCAAATAAATTGATGTTTTCCTTGAATAAACGTTTGTGATGCTTTTGGTGTACATTGATGAATTAATGCTTGCTTCAGCTTCTCACCTCTCTTCTGACATAGGTCGTTAACAAACAATCTCGCTAAGACTATAATTTATGAACGGCGTTTGGGCGGCGCTAAACTGATTTTTAGAATGTCCACTTACTAACTAGGACTAAATGAGGGTGATAAACAAGTGTTGGGAATTAGAATTATGATTTGCAGTTGATGATTAGGATAGGGAATTAGATTTAAGGTTTTCATCACGAACTGACATCAGCTATAATGTCAAAGTGCTATTTAGCCAAACAGATGAATGAATTTCGCGCCGAAATCCACTACCTGTCATGCTAAATCTAACTGGTTCGTCCCTAAATTAAGCAGTTCTATCCTAGACTCTTCTTTCTAGTTCTCCCCAGGTACTCTTCATCCTTCTGATGTCTGCCTTGAATTCCCGGCACCATGTGTCATTTGGTCTACCTCCTTTCTTTTTGTCATAAGGATTCCAAGTTAGGGATTGCTTTATGGGATGCTTTGATGATCTTCTTAATGTGTTCTATCTACCTCCGGCATTTTTCCTAGTTTCCCCCTCATTCGGAAGCTGGTTTGCCGGCTACTTGGTTGGACTATATACTTCTTGAAATTTCCCTCTTTCGAAGCTTTATACGCCGTCATTGCTAAGTCTTATACATATTTCTGCCTGTCAGCTTTGACACTGTTTTTCACTTGTTTGTTCACTTCTGTATATTCAGTCTGTGTTTCGGCCTCCCTCGTTTTTTTCGGCTGTTGACTACAATTTTGTTTTTTAATGGTAATTTTTGAGGAGATTGTCTACAAAGTCTATTTCTTTATGCTGGTGTTTCTTCAGCTTCCACATCTAGTATGTTGAAGTTATTGCTTCTCTAATCCCTTCCCGGTCATTCTCCATAGTGATTTCCATTTCTTACAGTAGAATTTTTTGGTCTTGAAACCTGTTGCATAAAGCCATCTTGAGTTTGCTGTGTTTTTTTAGCATCGCGAAGGAAAGTTGTATTAAACTTCAATGACTTCAGTTTCATCCTGATCACCGTCAGGTGATGACCTGAAGCCATATCATCCATCCTCTTCATTTTTACATCTTCGATGGACCTTCTGAATTTGCTATTGATACAGATGTGATTGCTATGGTTATCCCTAATGTGGTTCAGCGAGATCGATTTAGGTTTATGTGTGTTTGTTGGGGGAAATGATACTGCCCATGACCGTGTTACTAAAACCTCACAACTGATCAATTCTATCAGTTATAAAGAAAACACAAGAGTTCATTTTACATTTTTAATGTTGTAATTTATCTCATCTATATGTGCTTTATTTTCCTATTCTTCTTCTCCTCCTTATACACCAAACATTTATCAGCCAGTCAAGTGTACTCCAGTTAATTCACTGACAAGATTAAAAACAACTTGGTATCATCGTTTAAAAGGAAATTATATAATAATTAATAATACAGATTTTGCTTATTGTCGTACATTACCATTGGAAATACCAACACTTGCATTTAAAATGTCTGTAAGTATTTTACTTGTTATGTATTGTTTTGCTCTACAAATCATTATTATTCACTTATATATGTATATATACCACTATCGTAACCAATGGTTGGAGACTCGGGGTGACATGGCTCAGAATCAATCACAATGGTATAGGCGTGCGTATACATCGCTTCATTTCTTTGTTTCGATGAACTAATTCTTTCTTCCTGTACGATATCCTCATATGCAATTTTTCTTTTATATATTACCACCACTGAATTAACTGCTTCCATGAATCCGGTGTTCATCTTGTTGTGCTAATGAGGAATGGCAAATTGGACCGATGTATATATGTGTCTAGTCCTACGTTGGTATCTGACTGACTGATATTTATGTACGCCTAGGTAATGCTCCAACTATGTTCTAATGAAAAAATTGATCTACCTATTATAAAATATGAGTTATAATCTTTAAATTTAAGTAGTATATGGTGGTACTAAAAAAATTGAATGATCAAAGGTGACAACAGTTGCATAAAGTAGAATTCTTATTTATCAAGTAGTCTCGGATAGAACTACTCTTTTACAACTGAGATCGTCCTAATCTCTAAATAACTTTGATTTATTGATAGTCTTCATTAGTTAATGGTCACAATTAGTTAAGTTGAATTAAGAATGTGTCTCTTGAAAGTATTATTATTATTATTTGAACACATAAATATTGGTACAAGAGTGCGCCAAATATATATGCTTCACAGGTTGAAATCATGAGTCAGTTGAAGCTAGACCACCATTGAGAACCTGGACGCACTGGACGGCCGTTTCGTCCTAGTATGAGACTCCTCAGCAGTGCGCATCCATGAACCCGCCCCCCGCGTGATTCGAACTTAGGACCTACTGGCTTCGCGCGCGAGCACTTAACCATTAGACCGCTGAGCCGGCATCCAACGGTGTTAATGTCTAACTTCAACCAATTCACGAAGTTGCGCCACCGTACACCATTGTCTTCAGCGAGCTGATATCTCACACCTGACTCATGATTTCAACCTGTGAAGTTTCCTAAAATCTCCACAAAACTCATTCTGATAAATATATATGCGCCACACAAAACAGTGAGAATTTAAGGAGAAGGAAAAAAGGTAAGGAGCGTAAAAAAAGAGAACAATAACGAAGAGATTGGTGTAAGGTAGTGTAATAATAATAATAATAATAATAATAATAATAATAATAATAATAATAATAATGGGGGAAACGGAAAGGTACAATCAGAAGAAATCTTTCAGTTAAGGAAGAAGCAACCACTTTTTATGAAGAACGTAAAAGAAGGTTACAGCAGGATCGCCACTGGCTTCTATTCTGAACCATATATCTGATAACGTTTCTAGCCACTGTGTTGCACCATCTGGAAAGTATGAACAAACTTTATACATTTCTCCATGACATGTTATGTAAATTTCTCAGGGTTCAACATTAGTCTCTTGATCCAAAAGTTAAATTATGTTTCATCCAACAACAACAAAAAACATTCATCTGTCTTATTCGAGATCAATTTTGTTTTCTTCATCACTTTATATAGAGCTCTCATGTTATTTGTAATATACCCTTATCAATTCATTAACAGCATAACGATTTGGTCAATATTGTCTAAATCTATTCAAGTATAATAGAGATCGCAGAAGTGTTGATACATTATTCAATACAGCATAAGTAACAAGTTGTGTATTAGTTAATAGTAAACTAATCTTTTTTTTCTTCTTGTTTTATGTTATCTATACCAATTGCCCCAGAAGTAGTAATGTATAAAAGCACCATTTGAATCTATACAATCTCATATATTATTCACAATGACTCTTTCTTATCAGTAGAAAGTATTTTATATAATATATGAAGATATATGTATTGTTTTTTCTTCTTCTTAAATTGCACATTAAGCTGATAATCCTTGACACTAGCGTATCTAGATTTCTCGTTTTTTTTTTCACTCATAGCCGGTTACATTAGTGTTGTCTTTTTTATCCTTGTCAGTTATCACCTGACAAAATCACTAATCACAATACCGACTGATATGACCTTGTTCCTGTACTAAACCAATGACATGTCAACTCTAAATTTTTAATGGTTCTGGAAATTAATGACTTCTTGCCTAGCCTTGCCCGTTCAAGTCCAGGATAGAAATATAAATATCAACCTCCGCTATATGAATCTCATATTTCAGGTACATGTAGTTCATATACAAGACAAACTAGATCACAGCACACCATAAAATGAAAAAAATAAAAGTTGTACAATATCAAGCTAAAAATGGCTGTGAGTATGGGATACTGTAATTGATAAATTGGGAATAATTTAAGAATAGTAAATTGTATGATAAATAGTCAATAGGTCAATTGAAGGCTTATGATAAAAGATATATATATGTATAATAACAGTCTACAAATGGTTCCCATCAGTTACCCACAATTTAATATTCTCTGGATACAATATTTAGGTTAGGTTTACTAACTACTTATTTTGTCGTTTATTCATTGTATTACATTTTGTATTAAGTTCATACTCGTTTACCTCAAAGTGTAACAAATCAAAAAAGAATTTTCTTCTCAGATCACTTCCCAGTTTCTGTTTAATCAATAATTATTGGTAAGATTCAAATGTGATGAACTGATCACTCAAAATACTATTTTATTTTATGTAGATTTACCGACTCTATAAGTCACAGATTCAAAACTTAAGTGATCAATTGGATTTATTAGTATTATTATTATTTAAATACATAAACATTGGTACAAGGGGGGACACCAAGTACAAATGTGCCACAGTTCGTCTTTCGATTTGTGTGTGGGCTTGAATATTTCCCATGTGCCCAGACCGAAGCCGGTGGTTTTCCTAGAAGGTCACTCTCGAGCCTTTGATCTCGAGGTCTAATCCACAAGGTAGTGGGGCAACATTAAGAGATGCAGTCCCATGGTAGCCGGTGACTAACAATAATCTCATACACTTTTTGTTTCCTGAGGATCTTGGAGCCCATGTGCACCAATTTGTTTGATATCAGGGTTTTCCAACTCCCTTAGGTGAGTCTGAAGGATCCACCAACTTGATCAATGTACCGGATATTTTAGCAAACCTAAAATTTCACTGGTTGAAATCATGAGTCAATTGAAGCTAGACCACTATGGAAAACCTGGAAGCACTGGACGGCCATTTCGTCCTAGTACGGGACTCCTCAGCAGCGCGCATCCACTTTTCTGCCCCCCCCCGCGATATTCGAACCCAGGACCTATCAGTCTCGCGCCAGGCGCTTAACCAACTAGACCACTGAGCTGGCATCCAACGGTGTTAATGTCTAACTTCAACCAATCCACGAAGTTGCGCCACCGTACACCATTGTCTTCAGTGAGCTTCTATCTCACAACCGACCTGGTTAAACTTCACTGGTGACGACAAATTATTCCATTAATTTTTGCTGATTTACTTAACAACAAACTAAACTACTGAAATAGGAGAGTTTCATTTTATTTGATTATCAAAAATAACCTAAGCTTATATCCACCCATGAATTAATGTATTACTTATAAGTAATGTAATCATCTTATGTTGTTGTTTGTTTGTTTGTATTTAATTTCCTAGGTAATTATATTTCGCGACTACTTTGAAGGACATCGATTTCCAATTTTATCATTTTATTATTCAAATTCATTAGTTCATAATAAAAATTCTTATTTATATAAATATTATCCACCTTATTCCTTGGCTACTACTACTACTACTACTACTTCCCCGGTTTCAATGTCATTAGTACATCGATTCGGTGTATGGATATTAAGATCTGGTAATTTATTAACTGATATCAATATGAATCAACTGATTGATTGTAATAATCATTTATCATCAACAACAACAATATCAAATCAGCAAAAGAAATTATATTTAAAACATATTAAATTATCATTTAGTGATCATTTAAATGAATTATTCAAAGATAAAAATATTGTCAAATCAACTGAATCAACTTTACAAGAATTTTATATTCCATTATATGAAGATTATTCTAATGATTGGTGTACTACTCCTCCTCCTCCTCCTCCTCCTCCTACTACTACTACTACTACTCATGATTGTACATTTATGAGAACATCAGATCATCCAACCAATAATGATAATGAGGATATGGCAAAATCTCTAGAACAGAACAATTTTATACCATCTTCATTTATAACTGAATTATATGAATTAAATCAACATTATGATAATTGGTTAATACCTAAACATAATCATATTAAACAATCTTGGTTACAATTAAAAAATCTTATACAATTACCACAAATTCATACACCAAATGTAGAGATTTTCAATGAGTTTACAAATACTACTACTTATAATAATAATAATAATAATAGCATGAATGATACTACTGATTATGATGCTTCAGTAGTTGGTGACCATCATTCATTGATCAATGTTGCAACTACTACTTCTACTATCAATACTAATAATCATAATAATACTAGTAGTAGTAATGATAATCTAATGTTTATGAATTGGGATACCTTATCAACCGATTCATTAAGTAGTGAACGTGAAAAAAAATATTCTGATATTTTATTCAGATCAAAATCAAAACAAATGGATCATTCAGTTATTGATAAACGTTTATCTACAAGATCTGATTGGCATAAATTCAGTTTTACTAATTTACTTAAAACTGATAATAATAATAATAATAATAATAATAATAATAATAATAATAATAATAATAATCCTACGAACAATAAAAGTAACAGTACTAATAATCTACGTAATAGTATAGGTCAATCATTTAGTAAAAGTTATTCACATTTTTATTTATTAAATAAAAAGAAATTAGATCATTTCGCATTTCAATGTAGTCCGCATCGATCTGATTGGTATGATTATTTATTATCAACAAATTGGTTAAATTTATTATTGTTTACATTAAAACAAGCAACACAATTAAGTCAATTAATTTATCAATATTCAATGAAACCAGTAAATGGTTATGATGGAACAATTATTTTATTAAGTGGACCAGATAGTGGTCGAAATTGGCAACCGATTTTAATGAGTCTTGTACAGGTAAGGTTATGTATAATAAATATTGATCATTTGATTTACCGTATAATTATAAAACTATGATTTTGTAGATGGTCAACCATAGCTACTACTTTGATTTAGTGATCGAATACGTCTAAAGTGATAAATCGGTCGAACTATATTGATAGGAACACTTATTCATTTAGATCTTACTATAGCTCCCAAATGCCCTGGTACGACCGAGAGTGGGGAGAGTCCGCTCTCTCTCTTTCTCCAAATGCTCTCACATGGCCACGCGTATATAGCCTTTGCCAGGGAAGTTCTACTCACTGCCTTCTCACACCAGGGGTGTTGTTTACGAAAATGAGAGGAGGAAAAGCGAATGTCCGGTGCTCTAACCGGATCCCAAACCAATGGTGCACATGGGCTCCAGTATCCTGAAGGAACAAATCTCGTATGAACCAAGTGTTGATCACCGGCTTCCATGGGACTGCATCTCCTTACGATGCTCCACTGCCTTGTGGATTAGACCTTCAGGTTAGGGGCTCGGGGAGTGACCCCCTAAGAAAACCACCTGCTTCGGTTTGGGCACCCGGGTAGTATCGCAGCCCTCACACATATCAAATGAGATTTATGTGGTGCATATGTATTTGGTGCCTCCTTGTACCAATATCTATGTGTTAAAATAAAATAAAAATAATAAATCTTACTATAGTATGCAGATTGGTTGAAAATTGTTACAACAAATCAGTGAACTCGTGGTCAGAAGGCAAAGATTATGATGTTGATTGTATCATAGTGTGATGTCTATGAGATATGTTCATCAGACAATTCGTATGTGTAACGATGCTGTTTTCATATCACAGAGGTCGTCTCTTTAATTCATACTTCAACTCTCCCCATACATTTTCGTTTCTTGTAGTAGGACCTCTAAAATACAGAGCTAACAGATCAATAGGTCCTCACATAAAAGACCGTCTGTGATTGGCTTTACGCAGTTATCTCTTATGGTCGACGGTCACTTTCTTCAGGTACGGTTTCACCGTGTGGAGAATCAAGAAGTGACAACCACCTGTGCACACCTAAAAGTATTCTAGAACATCTTGACTGACTATTTTCTCTACTGAGTCTCAATCAAATGGTTCACCTTTGTTTTCAACCAGTTATTTTTCATTCCACCTCGACCATCTATCGTCTTGTATGTTCAGTTGTCTGACTTCCTCCGTGACTGAAACCCATCAGTTGGTAATTTTCATTAATCTATCTGAAAACCAGGTACTAATAACAACAAGGTTATCATTACCACTGCACTACTTAGAGTCTTCCTGAGATTTTATATTACAAAAAAATATTGTTTATCACTTACCGGTAATTAAGAGACCAGTGAAAACAAAAAATAACACTGGTTAGCTGGTTTATCCTAGCTATGGAATCCCTCATCAGTCCTCATTCATTATTCCACTAGGAATGATTAGTGGCCCTTCAGCAAGCCTACCACTTCAGTGCCCGTTGTTAACTCCAATTGTTATCGATATGGGATGATGGAATATAAGTGCTTAATTAATGTCGTGTACTTTTTATCGGTCAGTCATATCGAAACAACGTGAAAAATTAGAATAAGAGTTATATTTAGGTTGTGTATATTTCATGCATACATGCGAAGAACAGAGAATATAGATATTAGGATTTACTCCAAATGAGTGGGTCAATTCTTACATGAAGATAAAATTGTATGCACTACAGATAACCAGTTAGCGAGTAGATATGTTTTATAAGCGAAGCATATATAAAAATGAATAAGGTCACAAAATAATTGGCAAGATTAATAGCCAAAATGAGCTCACATAAGCGTTATAACAGAGAAGCTGCTTCAGTCAAGCCCAGAATCCTAGGGTTTCACATCGAGAACTTAACTGGCATCATATGGTTTGAACTTACGATTTCAATCGATTTTCAATTATTATTATTATTATTATTATTATTATTATTATTATTATTATTATTATTATTACTATTATTAGCTTTATTCAATATTATATTATTGGTACAATATAGAATTCTCAGCACAAAGTATTTCAACAAGTTTCCGTTTTTTTCTTCTTGGTCGGTCCTCGCGATAAATACTGAGTGGTCGCCAGCTAGATGTTATCAGTCCAGTAAATGAACATGGGAATGATGTACATTCTTTTCGTTGTATATTGCCCGCAACCATATTCTCTCTTTTTGAGCTTTTTGTAACTTTGATAACGAAAGGTTGTACATTTTTCAGAAACGCAGCAGAATAGGTTGTGCGATTAATAGACATAATGATATATTAAAACAAACAAAGATAGATAACTTGTTGAAATGTCTAGATGGCAGGAACAGGTAGCCCAGATGCTCAAGCAGGCCGCCGATGGTATACTACTCAATCACCATCCGTTGCCATTAGTAGATAACCGTTTCATTCCCGACGTGATCGAACTAATAGTTTCTCACTAAGCCTCCGGGAATTACCTGTTGAAATTAGGCCCTAATTGGCATATGATTACATTTTAAAATTATACTCATGTTATTTGTTATAAGGAACTCTTGTAATATAAATTATACTTTTATGTATAGATAATGTTATCTGCAGAGAACAGAACAATTCTTGGATTTGAAGATTTAATTGAACAAGAATGGATTCGTTATGGTTATCCATTTGTCCCCGATCCAACTGATTGGCATGATGATTCAGTTAGTTGTGATTATGATGATGGTGCATGTTTCGCATTATTCATCGACTGTGTTCATCAATTATTGGTCCAATTTCCTACAGAATTTGCATTTACAGAGGTATGTGTTTTTTTTCATCCTCACGGACATTACTTATCTTCACTCTTAAAGTGATTGTTATTTAACAGAATGTAATTTGTTTCAGTGTATTTTCTAACTATCATGCTTACCGTAGATTTGATTGTTCTTCACAACTCAGAACTATTATCGAAAACATATATTTATATAGGTATTATCAAGGTGTGCAGTCAGAGAATGCACATATACCAATAAAGAATTACTTACTAAATGAAGACCTAACTCCCAGGACAGAGTTTAAATGGTTTAAATTATTCTACGGGATGGGATCGCTACTCTCATGCCCAACCCTTCTCCTTTATCCGGGCTTGGGACCGGCAGTAGCCTCAGAAGGGCTCCAGGCGGAGTTACCAATAGAGAATGATCAAATACAATTCTTTATTACCAGCAATGTGGAATATACAAATCATTACAGTGAAACTTTATTCAAATTGTGTTTACGCATTTGAGTTCCTTCTGACTAGTCGCGACACAGTTTTTGTTTACTCAATAACTACACACAAATATGTACAATTCGAAATTTAAAAGAAGGAGAACAATTCGAATAAATCGTAAAGTTATCATCATTAACTAGTCGATTACTTATTGTATTGCGATGTTTCATGGTGTAGTAATAGTTTAGGAGAAAGATAGGCGCGGCCAGACCAAAACATGTCACAAATCCATAAAGTCACTGACAAGTGGACTGAGTCATGTTGGTAGGTGTAGACTACCTGGTTGAGATCCGCGAGACATTAGAAACCAATGGTTAGGTACCTTGAATGACATGGCTCAAAATCGTTTGCAATGGCGCACTCATCAGTATTTCTCATTTATTTTTCAGCCTATATCTGGCTGACTCAGCGTATCAATATCATTTGTGTAATTAGGCTGTAAGTATCTACTTATGAACTGGAGAATGAGTAAATTCAGTTTGTCGTTTATTCTTTTCATCTGTCACGTATCAGATGTGAAGTAATTTAGTCATTTAATCAATGAAAATTGTTTGATATTGTGTGCTAGACTTGAAATGATTGATAACTTTCCTAATTATAGTCAGAGTAGGAATTGCTCTAATACGCAATGACTTGTTTACAGCTACTTTCAGGAAATTCTTATTTACTGCTTTCACATACCTCAAGTGATCCTATCAAAAGGCGAAAGTAAATAGATATGCAGCGCTTAAAGCGGATCGAGATTGACAAAAAAGCATTCACTTAAAGGGTTGAGAAACTCTAGTGCCAAATCTACCGTGATACATGCTAATACACAATATAAATCATGTTTAAGTTTCTTATTGTATTTATATCCTTAATGGATATTTTCTTAATAAGTTATGTAATTATTTCAATGCCAAATAAAAATGAACTTGGTAGCATAAATAGTCTTCAATTAACTGTTAATGTGACTTTTTCTAAACTTATCTCTGTTGTCTTTTTTTTAATTGAGATCGTGAATCGATCAATGTTAGACCACCATTCAAAACCCGGAAGCACTGGACGGCCATTTCGTTCTAATACGGGACTCCTCAGCGTTGCGCATCCCTGATCTGTCATACGGGATTCGGACCCAGGACCTTTGGTCAGGCGCGCGAACGCCTAACCTCTAGACTACTGAACCAGCACCCGACAGTGTTAATGTCTAACATCAACCAATCCACGAAATTGCGCGACCATCTTTCATTGTCTTCAGTGGGTAACTGCCTCACACTTAACACCCATTAGCCCTACTAGTCATGGTTTCTCACTGGAATTTGTTCAGAACTGTAAAAAATTGGTAATAATTCTAAGAAGTCATTATGTGTAGAAATTAAATTTAATACAATCGTAAGGACTGAAATTTAAATAATTCCATCGTTTCGTTCAACAATGTTGCCTGCACTTCTGTAGGGTTGTAATTGAAATCAAAATTAAACATGAATATATAACATTTAACTTAAAAATGTACACTAAAAGCTTATATATTGTGTTATTATGCTACTTATGTTGACAGATATAAGTAGTATGTGACATCAATCAGAAGTGGAATGTTTGTCAAACGAAGATTGAAGAGAAGAGAACAGAAAGAGATTGGAGCAAAAACAGAATTGGGAGAATCATAGAGAATGTAAAGGACAACTAATGGAAGATGTACAAATTATGTATTTGATGTATGATTTTCACATTTTACTAAACCACTGTGTGATTGTGCACTAATCAATAATGAATTGGTTTTCCTCATCTAAGTTCTCATTCATCACAATATGAATTCAGTGAAATACTGGTTTAAATTAAAGACGGAGGTTCTATCGTGTGAGCGAAATATACGCGTATGCAAGATTGTGATAAAATAAACTGGTTTAGGATATACTACATACACACTGATAATATTTGATAAATCAATAACTGATTCTTAATAAGGATGTATAGCTTGCTATATCATCCATTTCTTCACCGGGTCTCACTTTATTAGTTTCATTTATAGCTCAAATCAGGAACTGAATTAAGCCAGATAACCAGGGAGAATTAGAACAGCTGTCTCATCAAAGTATCAGCAGAATCTATCCGTAGCTCTATGGTAGACCTATCTTAGCTCTCAGTTGTCTTCCCAGTCCTTTTTATTTTTAATTTTAGTCAACTTGTGATATTGTTCAACTATTAACAACTCCCGTCTAAGATACCTATCTCACTCCTGACATGGTTGCATTCTACTAGTCAAAGCTTTTCACCACAACTCCATATCTAATGGTCCTGGGTTCAATGATTAGTTGGATCGTGGATATCCACGTACTTGAACGAAGTAATTACTTAGTGCTTCTTGGTTTTCAATAATTGCTTAGCTAAAAGACACTTATGATCTAATCTTCAAATTTTAATTTTACTTATATGTATTCAAATTTATACAGTCAGTCAGTAACAACGTTGAACTTCGTACGTACGTACATCAGTTCGAGTTGCCATATCACATTAGCACAGAGATGCAGTTGTCGACTCGAATTCCGTAGCGGTAGAAGTAGTAAAAGTATAAGCAGTAATCGGAAAGATGAGGGCTTGAAGATGTTATTAAAGGAGTATAATCCAGTGAAATAAATTTGGAAAGAAAATAAGGGACATGAAGAATTCATAAGATTAAAATTTGGGAGAACACAAAGAGTGTATGCACTTGCGCCATTGCAAACGATTTTGAGCCATGTCATTCAGGGTCTCTAACCGTCGGTTGCTATTGTCTCGCGGATCCCAACCAGGTAGTCTACACCTACCAACATGGATTAGTCCACTTGTCGGCGACTTTATGGACTTGCGCCATGTTTTGGTCTGGCCGCCCCTAGCTTTCTTCCAATCTACTACTACATCATAGAAACATCGCACGTCGAGACAGTCGGTCGTTGGGCATACGTAACACGTGTCCCAGTCATCTCAACTGATGAAGTTTCACCACTTCATCAATTGATTTACCATCCTTACCTAGTACCGGTTTCCTAACAACTGAGTTACTTACTCTGTGGTCCATTCATACATTATGAAACTAATCCCGTTTTTATAAACGTTTGTTTATTTTTTATCATGTTTAGGATTATCTGGTCTTATTATTAGATAGTGCATTAAGTCGAGGTGGTGGAACTCCACCATTCACTATAGAATTTTCATGTTCATGTGAAGCAACAAGGCATGTTAAAACAAAATCAATGACACAAGAACAAATTATTGAAAAATCAAATTATTTTTATAATATAAGAGCATGGCGTTCATTTCATAATTGGAATGATATTTTAACTGATCATGGATATCAATTACTATTTAATTGGTTATATTTTTGGCAATATAATTCAGATCCTGTAAATGTATGTTCATATTTTTAAATCAATTAGATTATGTGTTTATTATAAATTTCATTTTAATTTAATCTATTTTTCTATCAATTATAAGTTATATGGTTATGCAGAACTGAAGGTCTCATATGAGACTGGAGATTCGCCATTGGAATTGTGCCCACAAATGCCCTGGTACGGCTGAGAATGGGGAGAGTCCGCTCTCCCTCTCCAAATGCTCTCACATGGCCACGCGTATATAGCCTTTGCCAGGGAAGTTCTACTCACTGCCTTCTCACACCAGGGGTGTTGTTTACTTAGATGGTAGTTGGAGGTAGTCAACAGGAAACTCGTCAGCAAGGTGTACCTGTAATCTTGAGGAAACTGGTGCTCCCTGGCGGATTCGATCTCGTGTCACCCAGCTCCACAGTCGTGTTGTTTACTAAATGCAGAGGACGAAAAGCGAATGTCCGGTGCTCTAACCGGATCCCAAACCAATGGTGCACATGGGCTCCAGTATCCTGAAGGAACAAATGGCATATGAACCATTTATGGGTCACCGGCTTCCATGGGACTGCATCTCCTAACGATGCTCCACTGCCTTGTGGATTAGACCTTCAGGTCGAAGGCTCGGGGAGTGGCCCTCTAAGAAAACCACCTGCTTCAGTTTGGGCACCTGAGTAGTATCATAGCCCTCACACATATCGAATGAGATTTGTGTGACGCATATGTATTTGGTGCTTCCTTGTATCAATATCTATGTGTTAAAATAAATAAATAAACATTGGTATTGTGGATGGTTCAGCATTAATTTGGCAAGTTTTGCTGGACTGTTCATCATACACAAAATTGGTTTGCTGGTTAACTGGTTTTGTTCATACTGGTGGGTTTTTTTTTCAGTGTTCTTAAAGACCATTGTCACTGAGATATTGTAAGGCATGTCTCCATTGCTATCAATAATGAGTTTGACTGTTGTGTAAGTGGAATAGGTCAACTTTGGCCTGTTCGTGCTGTGCACAATTGATTCAAGCGTTAATTGATCGGAATAATTATTATACATATGACGTGAATGTGTATATGAATGGTGAGAATGGTCCACCAGGGTGCTTGGTACCTGTGTGGTTGCGCCACAGGATTGAGCTGTACTATTCAGATTGTAGCGTTAAAGGCTATACGGTGTCTGGTTCTCTTGTGAAGCGGGATTGAGCTGTACTGCTCGGGTTATAAACTTTAAGCCTGGGCAGTGTCTGGCTCTCCTGTTAAACGGAATTGAACTGTACTGTTTGGGTTGTCACGTGAAAGTCTGGATGGTGTTTGGTTCTCCTGAAAACCAATGTAAAATTACCCTGGCCTACAAGGGTATATTATATAACTATTGTATAAATCTATCAACTTTGTATTACTTATCAAGTGTGTGAAGTATTCAGTTTCTTTATCAATCTTGTGTGTTCTGTATACATGAAATTACTTTGGTGAGGTATTTTCAGTGAATTAAGCAAAATTTTTATTAAAGTAGAATTTGAATGGCTAATGTAAAACAGGGATTTATCTACATGTCTCAGATTCACCATTAGTTGATCACCATAGTTAACCAGTATCAATAAAGGTTATCGGTTCAAATGAATACAAACTACAATCAGTTCGAAAATTGTGATAAGTCTAGCCAATTGAATACTAGATTTGGTTCCTAAGCTCTTCTAGTAACCTCCCCCCAGACTAGATCTGCACACCGATTTGAACACGAGAGAAAAGGTGCAAAACTGTAAGAAACACTACTCTAAAGGTTCGTTTATGTACAGAAAGTCTAGGGTTTTTATAATATTTTAGATATCCTTGGGTTCCCCGAAAACTCTGGGATGCTACTAAACTTAGTAGCGGCATAAGTAATCATCCAATCAGAAGCTCGACATGTGACTTTTCAATTTCTAGATGTTTCTGGCAAAACATCTAGTGAGCGCTGATTGGATAAGATGCATCTTGATGTTTTCTGAGCCTTTTTGGGGAGTTTTCTGGATCTCCCCAACAAATTGAACGTTACAGAGAAAAGAAAAACAACTAAAATCCATACCCGATCATTGCGTTTATCTTTGTAAATTAAATAATCATCCAAACAATTCTAATCTTTATAAGTAAAGATGGATAGTGGCTAGCAGTGGAATCCAGGACGTGTGTTTCTTCCTACTTGGTAGGACTCGTCAGCTGGATGTACCTGTATTTCAGAGTTGATGTTCACTTTGAAACTTTCAACATGTTGCAACTTGTCTCATAATAGATAGGTAGGTAAATAGTACGTAACACCATCAATTTTTAAATGTGTTTATCTTGCATGATACATTCTGTGAACTAGTTTAATTGCTTATACATTAATTATCGATTGAGAAAGTGACAGTAGAAATGCTAAAACAAATATCTCTTCCCATATCAAATGAATAGTTCAGTTGTTAGAGTACTTTTAATACCCATTATGTTATCACTCTGTCGACTTGATCACAAATTATGTCATTTATTAGTATTGTTCTGAACGAAGATTTGGTAGGGAAAACGAATTTTATTGTTATTTTATACAAAATTATGCAGTGCCTTTGTAAAATATGAAAATCATATATTAAATACATCATCTGCACATCTTCCTTGAGTTGTCCTTTACATATTTCGTCATTCTTCCAATCCTGTTTTTATTCCGACTGCTCTGTCGGCAAGATTATAATTTATAGACGAACTAATCAGATATAAGATAACAGGTCTCGAATTTCGGCGCGAAATTCATTTATCCTTTTTGAATAAATAGAGTCTTAGCATTATAGCTAATGTCAGTTCGTGATGAAAACCCTAAATCTAATTCCTAACCTTAACCATAAACTGTAAATCACAATTCGAATTGCTCACACAGGTTTATAACCCTCATTTGGTCGTATGTGTTAGGTGGACACTCTCAAGGTCACTTTAGTGTCGCTCAACGGTCGTCCATAAATTATAGTCTTACCGCTCTCTCTTTTCGTTCGCCTTCTCTTTATTTCAATCTTCTGCTAGTATGCATTCTATTTTCAATTCCTGTTATACATACTACTTATTTCTGTCTTCATTGACTCGCCTTGATTGTTTTGGTAATATTTTTATTTATAATTATACATAACAGATTATTCACGTGGAATTTTTTCCAGTCGTAGTTGGTATTTAGGACTGAAATTTCATTATTCATTTTTGACATATGCACTCCTTGACGAAGATGGTTTGGTAGTTTATTTATTTAAACACATTGGTACAAGGAGGCACCAAATAGATATGCGCCACATAAATCATTCTGTTTGTGTAAGGGCTGGAATACTGCTCGGATTCCCAAACCAGAGGAGGTAGTTTTCTTAGGAAGCCACACCCGGGGCGTTTGACCTAAAGTTTTGATCCACAAAGCAGTGGAGCGACGTCAGGAAATGCAGTCTCATGGTAACCGGTGACCAACAGTAGGATTCATACGTCATTTGTTCCTTCAGAATCGTGGAGCCTATATGCACCATTGGTTTGTAATCAGGGTTTTCCAACTCCCCTAGGTGAATCTGGAAGATCCATCAACCTGGTCAGTATGCCAGACATTCGCTTTTCGTCTTCCGAATTTCGTAAACAACACCCACGCCACCAGAAGGCAGTGAGTAGGACTTCCCTGATCGTGGTTGTATGCACGTAACCATCTGAGAGCATTTCGAGAGGAAGAGCGGACTTTTCCCATTCTCTGCCATACCATGACATTTGGTAGTGGTTTGGATTTATAAGTTTTAGTATATATTTTGGTTTATGGATAACAGTAGAATTCGGACCTATGTTTCATGCTACTCAAGACTCATAATCATTTCGAGACTAAGACTCAAATGTTATCTGGAATTCATCTCAACCTCAATTTTCAAAGTATACTAAGATGTGTATACCGCGAACTAATTGTTTCTCGTTGTATCATATTCTCTCACAATTGATTGATCACTGGGTGGTGATCAATGTCATGCTTGTCTAGTCCTTATTAGTGCAGATCGAATGCTATCGATCATGTTGCAATGTGGCCACCAGTCTAGGTGACTCGACACTGCGGGCATTATGTATTGAGATTTAGATGGTGATTGGAGGTAGTCAACAGGAAACCCTGGACCCGGTTTTCGTGCTACTTGGAACTCGTCAGCAAGGTGTACCTGTAATCTTGAGGGAACTGGTGCTCCCTGGCGGATTCGATCTCGTGTCACGCATTCGATCTGCACTAATAAGGACTAGACAAGCATGACATTGATCACCACCCAGTGATCAGTCAATTGTGATTACATCTCAGTCCTACAGGAGGTCGGTCGCGGCACGGATAACCCAATGGTAACGTCTCTGACTGTGAAGCTCGGTGACACGGAATCAAACCCGTCAGAGCGAATCAGTTCCCTCAAGATTACTTGTACACCTTGCTGAAAAGTGCCAAATAACACGAAGCCCGGGTCCAGGGTTTCCTGTTGACTACCTCCGACCACCATCTAAATATCATATTCTCTATAATTAATCCTTTTTATTACTACCATTAATGCCAGTACTAATTTGGCATATCTCATCGTACTATCGTGGTGTGGTGGCAACGTTGAACCGATATATCTAGTGTTAGGCTATTCACATTGTGTTTAACACTGACTGAAAACAATGGTCTACTTAAGTTGTAATCGTATTTATTTGTCTACAAGTTTAATTTGATTTCATTATATTATATTGTTGTCTTATTTTAGAATAGATCAGATTATACTAAACTTATACAAACTATAAATAAATCTACACAAATACTTATACCAATTTTATCACCATTCTATTATCCACATGTTTGGATTCATGCATGGTATCGTTGGAATCGTTCAATTCGTTTAACTAATGGTGGAGGTTATGCATTCAATGCTGCTTATTATAGAAATTTATTAGGATCAACATTATTAAATAATAATCAAAATCCATTTCAAATACCACGTACAAATACTACACCTTATACTGGTTGGTTAACAGATGAATCAATTAGAAATGCATTAAATCATATTGGTTATTCAATATCATTTGATGATTTTTATAAAAATTTATATGAAATAGCAAATTTATGGGATAATAATGAATATTGCGACACATCTTAATGGATATAATTTAGAATAATACAAATAATATACATACCTTTTTTCTTTTCTCTTTTCTTTATCTAAATCATATCTACCACTTATGTATGAATAATCTCATTCCTTTTGTTATAAGTGTGTTTTTATTTTGTTTTGTTTTTTTCTTTCTTTCTTTCTTTATTTATTTATTTTCAGATGATCAATGGAAAAACTGTTTACCTTTATTTTACTTTATTTTTCTTTTTTTTTTTATTTAAAAGAAGAAAAAAAAAGAACCGCCAAGTAATCTCACAAATTTTATTTTTCTTTATAAAATAAAAAATATTTTATTTGTGTACGTATTCAAGTCAATGGAAGGAATCCAATATTGATCTGAATTTAAATACAATAACCCTTTTTTTTTCTTTCTTTCTCTCCTTAAATCTTTTTAATTATTTCAGGGTTTTTTTTTTGTACTTTTTATAAATTAAAACAAAAAATTTTTTTTAAATTTTTTATTACTTAATTTATTAGTGATTTATTTGTTTATTTACTTGTTTTGTAAATCTAATTTAAATAATTGTAATAAGATCATTATGAATATTCTAAACAGATAAACATGATTTGTAATAATTCTTAAAAAAATTTATTTATATAATAATAGTCTTAAAGCTTAAATGAGAAGATACAAACTGAACAAAACCAAGTGAATTGAAATTCAATCCATTGTACATGCAAGTGGTTATCAGGACTCCAGTAGCTGAGTGGATAAGGCGATGGTACTGGGTTCGAGTCGCAGAGTGAACATCAACTCTCTGAGATGCAGGTACATCCAACTGACGAGTGCCACCAAATAGGAGGAAACGCGCGTCAAACTGCATTCCACTGCTAGCCACTATCCATCATTGCTTACAAATAGCTTGTGAATTAAGGTAATATCGAGGCATACGCACAGTATGCACATATGCCAATAACAGACTGATCAATTGCAGTCTTAAACCTCAATGAGAAGATACAAGCCAAACAATACCAAATGAATAACAATAGTGAGTCGTTAAAATTCCCAACTGAAATATATTTCAGTTAAGGGCTTGAGTTTGATAACATTTGCACTTCAGAAAATTACTATATAATTTTGGAATGAGTTTAGAAAACTCAGTCGGCTTTTGCCAACTTGTGAAGTAGACGATATATCCATCTGTCAATAAAAAAATGAGTTTACTACATATCAGTTCCCTCTGTTCTACTTTATGGATGTGAAACATGTGTGTTAGAGATAGAGGATATCCGTAGGTCACGAGTATTTGATACATGTGTCTATAAAGCATTTCTCGTGTATTCAGGGATCGCTAAGTGAGGAATTCTGAGTTCAGCCACATGATACTGGGTATCGAAGCAAACCGACCGGTGGGTCTCTATCATCTGAAGTGGTTGGCATGTGTTGTATGTGCTCAATCACCAAGTACCTGGACGGTCTATGCTATCGGATGTAGGTTGAGACAAAGTCAGGAGTAGCCAAACCAAAATGTGGTTGGCTGTTATGTGCTGTCGTTGGATACAGGCTACTTGGTCTCGGTCCACCCGTCTGCCGTAACCAGTTGTTAGATACTTTGATTTACACAGCCTACGACCGTTTACACTGGCAGAAGTGCATCCTCTATGTCTTCAGTCCTGTATTTTCTTTATGCCTTTTTCTTTGCCTAGTGTTTCCTACTTCTACTGCTGTGATTTGTTTTGAACGTCTTATCTCATTGTACTAAAGTGGTATGCAACTTGGACTGATGCATATAGCGCCAGATCCTGCGTTGCATGCAACTTGTTCTCCAGCTCTAAGTCACATATTTGCCTGTCAATAATTGTTGCAAGATGACATCAATATTAATTGGCATCCTAAGGAAATTACACGCAAATTACTTTGACAGGCTAAAATCTATGCATTGATAGGTGCCATGTCCGACACAGTTCCTGATAATTAGGAACTGCAGCCCACAACGAAACCATCCGCTTATTATTAGGAACTTCCCAGCGAGCAGAAACCATCCCTAACGACGCTACCTTATACAGCGTTAATAAGTCTAACAAAGTAACGGTTCACTGCAATCTTGACAGCCACCCATCACCCAAACTCTTAAGGCAACTAAATATGCCCCGCTTTCCAGTTGGGAGAATAAGCGCAGGTAGGAGTCTCAGGGACAACTCCAACCCTTCTCATATTATAGGATTCACCTGACAGATACGCTTCATATTCACCCAATAGACACGCGAAATAGAAACCCCTGCACGGACCCAACCAAATAAATCCACTCGAGATGGATTTAGAGATTGTAAGACGAATAAGCGGTATTACTCTGAACTTTTAACGAAAACCTGTCACCCACGATTCTTTATAGAAAAGACAACAGCAGCACATCGTAAAGTGAAGGACCAATGACTAAAATGTTACACGTATAGAATAATTAAGGCGAACGCCCAAGCCTTGTCACCTCTAAATATTTGGGGGGAATGAGTGCGACCTGCTTACCAAGTGTGGGTGACTCATACCAGTCCTGAAGCCGTCCGAACTAGTTTCTGGACGACAATGTAACTGTCGAATGATAGTCAGGTCGAATTAGCGCAACTCATAACTACTTCACCATGTAATGTAGTGATGAATCCTTCAGCGTTGGCACGGTCACTATCTATGCACTGCATGATGTTGCAGGTATGTCCTCTCAGCCAGGAGAAACGAGTACGCCACACCAGGCATCACTAGCAATCAACGCGCGAACAGACCATGTGAAACCAAACTGCCAAACGCACCGCTGGCAGCAGACGCCGATACCTAAGCATCATAACATTCACGTACATGTCTACTAGGAATTATAACCCAACTGGTAACTGACGAGTCACTACACACCACGTAACGGAGACAGGCGATTTGGCGGAGTATCTAGCGGGACAATCCAGTACTTTATAATGACCTCATTTAGCCTGCTTTATTGCTTGAAGCCTAAACCTTTGATGAACCCACTAAGGCGTAAGATTGTTTACTTGCCTCAAAAAGACCCAGTCTTCCTACAAGTAGACTAAGTATCTAACTTATCTTCTGAATTTCAAGACAAATTAACAGACGATATCCAAAAAACTAAAGGACGTAATGAGTATTAATTATATTTTGGATAGAAAACGGTATGATGCGACCTGGACCTTTTTGGACTTGAAGTGAAATGCATTGTGAACCTGCGAACCTCATTTACATTAACGACTGCGACTTCGGGAGAAACTCCTATGGTTTGACACAGATCTGAAAGAAAAGAACATTAAAAATGATGGCTAGGACAAAAAAAACAGTGGTAACCGTTACATTTTGATAATCTATGAAACTAGGCACTTACACGTTTAGGCATGAAGGAAAACAAGCTGTAGGTCTCTACGGACGTTAACTATAGAGGCTGTCTGTAGTCACGACGACGATGTCGACGGCTCACAGATGCCGAGATGTAAGGCAGTTTATGCCCGCCGCAATGAAGTCAAAGATGCCAATTTTTGAATGAAGTGCCTATGTAGACCAGTCTTTTCATAGTACATTCCGCGTGCTAGTGACGAGTCACCGCTACGGAATTTAGAGCACCAGCGTTTGACTGAGCTGTTACACTGCGAGATAGGATGTCGATATAGTCTAAGGATGCCGTACTTGGATGATAAAACTGATACAGTTGATAACGTATCATGGTAGCCGAGACGATACCAGACGACATGCGAGTAAGATGAATTACCTCGACCTTCTTCGGCCTTCAGGCCTGCTGCGTCCATTTGGACCACCCGGCCCACCACTCCGACGACGACAATCGTAGGCATAATGTCCGCGTTCTCCACACTCGTAACACCGATCTGTTGGGTCAAACGGTTTCATACGGCGAGAACCAACTCCATTGTCACGTCCTCCACCATTACGAGCACCACCACCTCCACGTACCCACGGCTTCTGTCGCGACTTTCCAGTGCTCAGTTCAACACGGGCGCGGACACCACACATGACTCTAAACATATTAAATGTAACGACAAATGTCTACTTACGTTCCGTCGAGTTCACGCACCGCATCACTGGCATCTGCAGCATCTTCGAATTCAACAAAAGCAAAACCAGGTGGATTTCTCGCAACCCATACGTTACGCAACCTTCCGTACTCCCGGAATATGCGTTCTAGTTCTCGTTCAGATGCCTCTCTAGGGAGGTCACCAATGTATACTTTCGTACCAACATCTCGGTATCTCGCAGCCATTTTTTAAGAGATAACTTCGCAAACGACCACGACTTCAAACAAAGTGCCCAATTCTCAATTATGGAAGCTATCGTATATCATATTAAACAAATAAGACAAGAATCACATTTTACTATTTAACTTTATCGCTATCATAAACATTTTGGAATTATCTATGAATACGAATGGTCAGGACATACTCGGACACATGATCGGACTATAATTGGTTCTTCAATGTGTCGCTGATATATAACTTACAATGACTTTCTTCCATGTTTTATCTTGTCTGTTTCTTGATTTCTTACTAGAAAACTACCTTCCTCAGTGATTGGTCATACATCTAGGAACAACACGAGGTTCTCTTTTTCAGATTATTTCACCATTTGCTGGAAAATATTAGTATCACATTATGAATTTGTAAAAAATTTTCTTCTGAGCAAATATTATTGACAAACTAGTAACCCAAAGTATTTCTGTAGGTTGATCACGGTATAAATAGCTATTTGCCGCTTCTAATTAAAATTATTAGCTTATAACTGGGGAGATGCAACTGGAGAACAAATACTGTGGTGAGATCAGATATCAAGGTTAAAATAGCATACCTTCAAAGTCTATATTTTCATCTCAAGTCAAACATCATAAGGCTCATGTGAATGTACTTGTCCTTTGATGTTAACTACATTGAAGTAGGCATTGCAGAATTCAAAAGGGATAGAGAATAATAAACGAGGAGTAGGGATGTCCCACTGTCGGTATTTATACAGATACCTCAGTGAAAAATTTTCTACACTCAGATAGTTTTAGTTTTCAAGATGTTAGTACTACACATACTATACACTTAACTTACGATTATTAAATGCTAACACTCAGCAGAGACAGCATTTCTAAATAATTTACAGTGCTATACCTTGAACACCTCTAAGTCATGATAGTCATGACTTCAGACATCATCTCTAGGCTTTCTGTTTACAACGGCTAGCCAGCGTAAAAAGATGTTAGATTGCTTGAGTGAAATGATGAAACACTTTTTTTAAGGTTAAAGTAAAGAGTTGATGAAGCTTCATAAGCAAACACATGGTAGGCATAAAATATTAATGTAAATTCACGACACCAACAGTCACTTTGTTTACGCTCAAATTAAGCACTAAACAATCTAACAAAGAGTAGAAGCCTACCAGATAAAAAGCAAAATTTGTCAGTACACCATAAATTATGAACTGATGTCTTCCGTTGATGCACGATCTCTGCGACTTAGTTAAGTATATCACTCCTCAAGTCTTGTCAAATAATTTGCTTTCGATGATGATGTGCTAAGTAATGTTATTATTCCTACAGTTAGGGAGCATCGATGGGGATGCCATCACAAAAAATCTAGCTGAAGTGTTTAGTTGACATCGAAACGTCAAAATAACATGGAAGCACCTTTAAAAATTAAATGGATGCGTTTTATTATCGCTAGAGACTATGCAAGTATCCCAACAACTCGAGGTAGAATAGAGGCTTTACGCCACATTCAAAAACATTGAAAGAAGGTGGTTAAATAATGTGAGAAACCCAATGTCTGAGGATTAGATCTAATAAAGTTTTCTTAAAACATGTGACTCGCCATCGGAACATTCGAAGAAGCTTTGAATTAATTAGGGTTGAGCTGACAAGGTGCACAGATTAATAATATATTCTGACTGATAATTTGTGTTGGGACTTGTTGGACTTGGAGGAACTCTTCGGCTCAGAGAGACCCAAAGTGTTAGGATTTTATTGCTATCCTCTCTTCCTATCCGCATAAGATCGAAAAGTAACTAGAGCGCGAAGAACTTCATGTCAGACTACTACAACCAACCTGCGTTTTCTGACCCGATACAGAGATATTGTGGAACAGTTTTAAGTGCTTAAGATAATACCGGCCCATCTATCCATTATGCTAGGTAATTAATTTGAACCCTATTCATCAAGACTACAAACCGTATGCATTGCCTAGAAAATAGCTATTCATGTAAAATATGAATTAGATGATACACTGGCTATTGTCGATAATATTCAAAATGAACTAAGTGAATTAATAATGATAAACTGTATCTCCTCAATGGTGATGAAAATATATATTTCTAGAATAGAGTCGTTGTAATATCGCTTTTTGAAAGCTGAATGTGAGTGTGAATAAAAGCTCCTCCACGTACATACTGTACTTTAACTCGGTGCTTTAATTTTATGTGTGAAGCAGTTTTTCTTGATCTCATCTGTAAATTCCAGTGATTCTGGTTAGGATTAATACCAGTTTTTTTATCGTATTTTCTGACTTTCTTACGTTTCTACTGAATTTATATAATTTTTACGAACTATATCTACGTTGGTTCTGACTGTACTTCATGAACTGTTTAGAATTGTTAATTTTTAAATTGTGGATTGAAGTACATTTCCTGGAATGGAAAGACTAATTGTTGTAACAAGTAGTTAGGTATATAATTTTGAATACTCTTGTTAACGATGTTTTTTATTGATGGAAATATAATTTCCTAAACGAATTGTAGTGGATCATGTAGTATTTAGGTCTAGGTCTGTTTTAGTGGATTGATCTACGCTACAAGAACAGTAGACCTAATCCAATATTATGGACTTTCCATGGCATAAATACCTAATATATTAGATCCTATGTTGAAGTCATATAATTATCTATACTGACTAGTCCTGTCGTGACACTAAGAGGTTTTGATGTGATAAACTTTGAAGAACACATTTAAACTAGAGATGGGACAATATATCTGATATAATAACTAAGATGATAAGTAGGGCGACCACGTCTTTATGACCTAAGCAAACGACCTCGATTAAGCGTTTCCGAGATCAACACTGCTGACCTTCCGCAAGCACTAAACGGTGAATGTAACTCTTATCAGTTATTGTATGTTCAGCTTCAAAGGTCGAGTTGTTAAAAAACAATTTTACAAGTGATTAAATGTACAATTCATAATATTATTATAGTCTACACTGTTGTAGAGTTTAACATTAACATTTGTAAAGAAGACACGTAACCCATCTAAAAACTGGAGAATTATTATTATTATTATTATTAGAAGCTTTATTCAACATTATATTTTTGGTACAACATAGAATTCTCAGCATAATATTCTTGCATTAATAAATTTCAAGTTAGCGCTTGCCTATTAATGCGGTTTGATGATTTTCGCACTGTGTCCCCTATCCATCTTCAGAGCCTAATTTCCTATTCATCTCGAAGTTAGTTTGTTCTCTTCTATAGTAGGTTGTAACTGATGGAATCCGGCCAACGGACATTGAGTATCTTGCCTAGACAGTTGTTCATAAATGCCTGCACAATCTTCATGATGGTTCTAGTAGTGCTCCAAGTTTCAGCTTCATACAGTAGAACCCTTTTGACATTCGCATTGAAGATTCTGATTTTAACATTGGGTGGCAGTTGTTTTGAGTTCCATATGTTCTTCAGCAGTAGGAATGCTGTCAGGGCTTTGCCAATCCTTGCATTCACGTCTGCATCAGATCCTCCACTTTCATCGACGATGATGCTACACAGATAAGAGGAACTTACCACTTCTTCCAGAGTTTTTCCATCAAGTGTGGTTGGGTTGCTGCTCTCAATGTTGTATTTCAGAAACTTGCTTTTTCCCTTCTGTATGTTGAGGCCTAGTGATTCAGATGCTGCTACTACACTGGCTGTCTTGACCTGCATTTCTTGATATGTATGGAATAGAAGGGCCAGGTCATCTGTGAAGTACAAATCGTCCAGTGGCATCTAGACTGTCCAGGGTATTCCCTGTTTCCCGTCAGATGACGAGGTTTTCATAATGCGAACAACCACCAGAAGAAAGAGAAGTGAGGGAGTAGACAGCCTTGTCTGATTCCAGTCGTCACTTGGAATGTGTCTGTCAGCTGTCTTCCATGCATCACTTCGCAATGTAGTCCATTGTAGAAACTCCGTATGATATTGATGATCTTTTCAAGTACACTATAGTGTTGAAGAAGGCTCCATAAGGTCCTCCTATCCACACTGTCAAATATTTCCTTCTTGTCAACGAAGTTGATGTATGGTGACGAGATCCATTCACTTGATTGTTCATTGATGATCCGTAGTGTTACAATCTGGTCTGTATACAGTATATACTTGCGGAATCCATCTTGTTGACCTCGAAGTCTGACGTCTACTAAGTCTTTCATTCGGTTCAACAACACTGTTGAAGACCATTCTTCGTACTGATTATTGTTTGATGCCTCTGAAGTTCTCACATTTGCTCAAACTTCCTTTCTTTGATATATTGATGAGATATCATTCTTTGTGGTCCGTCAGCACTTGCTCTTCCTCTTGAATCTCCCTGAATAGGATGTGAAGCATACTTGCAGTTATTTCTATGTCTGATTTCAGTGTTTCGGCCGGATATATTCAAAGTGTCTTGCTCACGTGTTCCTCTGTTCTCGAATCTCAGTGAATGGCTCGCTTTCTTCATCCTTGACAAGTCTAGTCTGGTTTACCATCGAATCCTTGCATTTAATTTAGCTGCGTCACCAATGCCGCTTGAGTCGGTTTCCAAGGTCTCTGTGGTTACCAGTTGTAAACTGAGCAGTGAGGATTGATTTGCCGCTAAACGCCGTATTTGGCTTGCATGAATTACTGGTCGTTTATTTATTGGTAGTTCACTCTGTTGACAGTGAACAGTTTGGGTTCTATCTACTGGTTAAACAGCTTAATTTGTTTCTTATAGAACAACCAGAATTTGTCGGCGACTCACAGTCGTTTTCTATATTACTAATCTTTCCCCTTCTCTCCTTCTTCAATCCCACGTTTGTATCATGCAACTGTGACGCGTTTGCACATACCTCGACCATATACATGCTGACCAGGGTCATAATTGTCACGATACAGTCTGCGATGGATACTTCATGAAAACTGTAAACTTACTGTCCAGTTCTATTACACCAACACACTTAATACATACTCTCTACATCTCCTTGCACATTGTGTTTTACGACTGCATTAAATTAATATTTTTAATACGCTAACGAGGCTAATGTCTCACTGGGTAACTCGTGTTGTAAATTACCGTTCTTACCGGTAAATGCATGGATCTG